ATGTACATATATATTTTTTTTGTGTTTTGCTTCTTTTTTCTGATGCTGCTGCCGCTGTCGCTGCTGCTGCTGCTGCTGCCGTGTGACACTTGCGCTTGTGTAAGTGTCGCTCGTTTATGTGCGCGCCTGTGTGTGGGTTTTTGTTTGGTTTTGGTTTTTATTATGCGAATTATCGAAAATTGAGCGACGTTCGCGTCATACGTGTGCGAGCAGACTTTCGAGTCGCTGCATTTCCCACTCACCTTCCTTGAGTGAGTAACTTTTCCTTTCTTTCTTGTTAGTTGGAATTAAAACTAGCTGCAATTTGTTGCCTACGACAATTTGTTGGGCTTCAAATGAGCAGAACGTCAACGCGTGTCACGTTGTGACATTAAATAAAATCCTCGCCTGCCCTTCGCACATTTCACAAATCATGGCTATAATGGAGAAAATAATAAACAACAAGTAGTCGATGAAAAATCAATCGATAATTTTATATCGTTCGAACTAATAAATCTTAAAGAAAATCACAAATTACGAAAAAATCAATTTGCCTCAAATAACGTTCAAACACCCAAATCTGAAACGTGAGTACCCAATGAGTTTGTTATTTTTACGATATTCAACTGAAACTCAAGTTCAGGCTCGGGGTGATACGTAAATATAGTGTAAAACCTACCTTAGGAAGATCTACCGTAAGCCTATTATTGATCTATCTTTCACGCTGCTTGGGTGCCTCACTCTCATTCCTCGCTCTTCTGCTCGTTCATTCTCTCTCTCTTTGAATTCTTTTTGGCGCGACATCCTTAACCGTCTTCAGACTTCCAACTTAACTGAGGCAACTGAATTTATCTAAAGTATATTATTTCGTTAACTTCTTTGGTATATTAGAATAGATCTGCTTAATATATCAAAACTATCATACAATTTTGTAATATCAAAATGTAAATTTATTTATTTCAAGTACAACATTATTTACACATTTCTTTTATAATATACATACATATATTTATACATAATATATATAATATTTGAGCTTTACATAGGTATTTAATTAAATAGGGCTTCATTTTTGTGTTCAAATTTGAAATTGCAGAATCCTTTGCATCCTTAACTTAATTAGGTTTTCGGTAACAGGATTATTGACCATTATTTCAAACAAAATCTATTCTTCATCAGTTTTTATGTTCTAAAATAATATATAATAATAATATATATATATATATACATATATATATATATATTTACATATATATAATCAATAAAGCTGCAATTTCCAAATGTTATCAATCATATAATTAATATAAAACAACTGTCCCACGATAATACGGCTTGACATATTAACTCAATTCGGATGAGTTCGAAAAACATTTCGAACATCTAAGCGGACCCCTGCGCTCGATTGCAACTGCAACTCAAACTTCTCCGACGCGGTGCGAGTGGACGCGTGAGCCAGCAAGCGGCATTGGCTCAAACATTGAGTGGTCCGTCTCTTGAGTGAGTTGCGCGCTGTTGAGCGAGAGTGTGGTGCAGTTGCTGTTGCTGCAACAAACACTTGTTTGTTTTGTTTGCCGTTTGCGGCAGGCAGAAGCAAGTAGTGGCATTGGCATTTCCCCGTCGCTGCTGCGGCTGTAGGTGTCAGTTCGCTTGCAACTCAGCCCAGCCCAACTCAACCCAACCATTCATCCATCGATTGTCAATCAGCGTTTGGCTCTTATGTGCACAAATGAGAGGGAACGACAAAAAGAAAGAAAGCTGCGCGCCTGGCAATCGCGTGTGCTTTTTATACCCACACACGCACACACTCCCACACTGACACACACACACACACACGCACGCACACACACATGACCAACTGTAAAAGAAATGGTTGGCTGAAAGCAAGAAAAACCAAAGCGTTGGGAAAAAAATCTAACAGCAATGAAATGAGTTTCGGCAGCAGCAGCAGCAGCGGCGGCAGCGACGCCAACGCCAACGCTAGCACGAGCAGCGGGTACGAAGCTTTCGTGTAGGTGGCTGCAGCCTGCCCTTACTCTCCTCTCTCTCTCTCACACTCTCACCTTCTCTCGCTCTCTCTCTCTCTCACACTCTTTCGCCCGCAGCCTCATCTACCGCGCTCGACCGACTGCCTGCTTGCGCCTCTCGGCTCAGCCTGTGTGCACGACGCGTCTCTCGTACGCTGCAACGCACTTAGCGGCTGCTGCGGCTGCCGCTGCCTCTGCTTCTGGCTCTCTGTTTTGCATTAGGTGCGCATTCACCCTTCCCTCCCCCTTCCACAACCGCCATCCATTGAGCGCTGGGTTAAGGTTGCCATCGTCGTCGTTGGCTGCTCGGCTGCTGCTTCTTCTGCTTCTGCTTCTGCTTCTGCATCTGCTTCTTCTTCTGCTGCTGCTGCATTGCACTTCGATACAATTTGAACTTCTTTCTTTATGTGCAAGTCGAACCGAGCAGCGGTTCGCTTCAAACCCTAACGGATTGCACACTTGTCAGTGGGCGGCCGATGGGACTGAGTATGTCCTGTTCGTGATTCTTATTGGGCTGGGTCATAGCTCAAACCTTTCGTTATTCAAATAAAGAAACTCACATTTATATTTTTGTAATATTATATTCAATATTGTCCGAATGTGCATGTACAGTAATAGCTTTAACTAACGGACAATTGGCTTTACTTACTTTAAAACAGAATTTACAATTGTAATTGACAATTTATTTTATTTATTTTTTTTTTTTTATAAGGATAAGGTTTTCTTTAAACATCATATCATGAGACATAATGAGAATATTGTTAAGTTTTAATGTTAACAATTTAAGACTTTACTTGAATTATGTATATATAGAAACATATATCTTATATATGTATTATATTGGTCAAATCTAATTAAGACTGACAAATCTAATTAGACATCCGTCGAGAAATGAGAATATTTCATTGAAACTTCAATTTGAAAAACACATTGACTCATTATACTCCATTTATGCACTTAATTTTATAGAAGTCAAAATATGTTAATATATTAAAAATATATTATCTAGGACTTATTTCAAATTTTCAGTCTTGATAATTAGAGAAACCCCTTCAAACAATCATGTGTATATTGCAATTAATGTTATATAACAAATTGCAAAGAGTTAACTCTCTTAACAACTGTTTAACACTGATTTAAAAACAAGACGGGAATTGAATTTAAATTAAGCTTATTTTGCTTAGTAAATCCCATTAAAGAATCGGAGAGATTCCTCGGGTTTAATCTTAAGTAAGCTTGGCCCCCTCCCCCTCAACGGACTCGCTTAACCTTTACCTGGCAATATTAAACTTGCCTTAGAGGCGAGGTTGGCAGAGCCCCTCCCTCCCCCGCCACCCATCATCGTTAGCCATAACCACACAGCAGTTTGACCTTTGGCAGGCCACTTGAAGCGAAAATACTTGGCATTAAAAGTCAGTCGCACACACATACACGCAAAGCTAAGACCAGACACAATAATTATACGAGCCACCCGAAAAAATCCGCCAGGATCCGCAGCTCAGCCAGTCCACCTCGACCTCGTCCTGAGTAGCCTGCGCACCTACTCCTTACGAGCACCTTGGACATAAGCTTGCAACAGGACAAAACAAAAGCAAAGAAAAAAGTAAACACGAGAGAAATAAATAATAACAAATGATAAAGAAAAGAAATAGCAACTTAATATAAGCGAAGCCGGCAACAACTTCGAAGATTTCCCCTGACACGCTCTCGCTCGCTCTCACACACTCACTCAGTCAGAAAGAGTTTGCACTCAATCTGCGGCTCAATAAACAAACACGAGCAACGAAATGTGAGCGCAACATTTTCCTATAAGTTTTTCCCAATCAGAAAAAAGGCGACAGAGGTACAAGCACCAGGAGCAGCAACAGCAGCAGCAGCAGCAACAGCAACAGCAACAGCAACAGCAACGGCAACGGCAGCGACGTCGACGCCGCAGTACAAATTGAATGCCAAGCCACAGCCACATATGCAGCATGTTAGAGCGACTGAGCGAGATAGCGTGAGCGTGAGAGTGAGAGCGAAAGAGTGAGACAAACGGGCCGTTGGTTTGAATGAATGAATTTCAATACATGCAACTGACAGAAGTTATCAGAAGGCAGCAGCAAAAAAAAATAATATAAAAAAAAAGAAAAAAATACCAAGCAAAAAGTAAACAGAACGAACACAAGCTGAGCACAAGTTGTTGTAATACGTCGTATGTGAGCGTCGACGCCGGCGACGGCGCACAAAAATGCTCAGCCCCAACCAAGCAAGACAAACGAAAATCAAAAACCTATTGAAAGAATCAAAATCGTGCAGACTGCCAGGCGGGAGGCAGTCACCAATTGAGTGACTCTCTCACTCTCTGAGCTCTCCTTCTCTCGTTCTCACGCTCGCTCACTCGCTCACTCTCGCTCTCTCTGTCTGTCTGTTCGAGTGCAAAGCAATGCCAAGCACGCTCGTTCGTACGCTCGTTCGCTCGTTTGCTCGTTCGCTCGGTTCGTGTGCGGTTCGTGCTCGTTGCGTACCGACATACGACGTGCATTGTTTTTTGTTGTTTTTGTGTGTGTTTTTTTTGGGGTTGTCGACGCTGCGACTTGTTCAGTGTTGTTCAGTCATCAACTGAATTCGTGACTGGCAACGTCGCCTGTGAGTGCCGCCGCCAGTGTCCGAGTGTGTGTGTTGTTTGTGGACTGACTGTTGACTGTTGTAACTCAGATCTGTGTCTACGCTCTTCCGTGCTGGAGTGAACCAATTGAACGAATAGCGAATCACGAATCACACATCAGCCACAGCAACAATAACAACAGCAACAACAACAACAACAGCACTAAGCGAAACAGTTACAAATCAAGCTAAATTATTTATAAACAACAAATGCAATCAGCATCAATTTAACTGTCTTTCAGTTGTTTTTACCACATTTTTTTTGAGCTATTTTTTTTCACAATTGTTTTTTGACAAAATAATACAACTACAAAAATATACACAAAATATATTATATATATATATATATATATATATGAAAAGAAAAAGTCGAAGTGTGCGCGTGTGTCCAGTGTAAACAAGATAAAGCAGCAGTGCAACACCCACAACATCAACAGTGGCAACAGCAACTTGCAACAATAATCACAACAACAGAAAAAAAGCAAGCAAAGAAATGGCTTAAAAGCGCGGCTCGTGGCCTCAACAAATCCAGTCAGAATTTGACTTGGCATTAACTTTTGCATAAACACACACACACACACAACAAATGGCAACAGTTTACAAAGCCGTCGCAATTGTTGCAGCCAAAACAACAACAACAACTACGACAACAAACATAATCAAAATGTGTGCGTGTTTGTGTGTGTAATATATCAGTTAAATACAATAAATATCAATAACAACAACAACAACAACAACGATAACGATAACAACAAATTGGCCAAAACAAAATAAAATCAAAAGAAAATTTGATGAATTTTTTTGAGCACGTAAAAAAGCATCTAAGCAAAACAAGAAGCAGCATTGCAACAAAACAACAACAATAACAACAAGAGAGTGTTTGCATTGTGTATCCGTGTGTTTAACTGTGTATGTGTGTGTGTGTCTCTCCAGCCCGCTCGCTTATTAACTAAAACTAACAAAAAAAAAAACAAAAAGTTAATTTTACTAACAAAAAAATAAAAAACAATTTTTTTGTTTGTTGTTGCGAGGCTGTTCTCAATGCCTCAACAAATGCCGCAGCAAACGGCGCAGCAGCAGCAGCAACAGCAGCAGCGATAACAACAACAACAACAACAAACGACAGCAACAAAAGAAAAAGAAACAAACAACTCAAGAGAATTGCACAAATCCAAAGACAGCCCACGAATGCAGCCAACATTGCCACAAGCCGCTGGGACAGCCGATATGGATCTGACGGCTGTTCAATCAATCAACGATTGGTTTTTCAAAAAGGAGCAAATTTATTTATTGGCACAATTTTGGCAACAGGTAAGCGCAATCAGTCTACACAAGTGTCAAGAGTTAACAGAACAAATATTCCCGTTGAAAATAAAGTGGAAAATGGGCAAAACTCAGTTCGAGAAGCAACAAATTTATAGTTCATATCAAAGCAATTGCTGCAAGCAAAGTGTTGAAAAACGTTTTAAAAAACATCTTAATTGGCCGGCACAGTGTGAAAGTGTTGTAAAAGTCATATATGTATGTGCATATATGTACATATATAGAGCAAGGGCTTATTTTTATTTTCCCATTTGCATAAGGTAGATGGAAGGAGAGAGAGAGAGAGAGAGAGAGAGAAAGCAACACATATATAATACATATGTGCTTCTTTTGATAAATTCTTTTTTGCATTCTATTTTATTTTCCGAGAACAAATTTGAGTCAATTTAAAGCCAGTTTCCCAGAATACACTTGGGCCACAGATAACTATTCGGAATTTCCGTGGTGCAGTTCTCATATAAAATACCCAATAATCCTACATGAACATAGAGCCTATATCTACATACATATAAAGAACAATCAAGCTTAAGGCAATTTCTCTATGGAGTATTTAGTTGAATTTCGATTGGGGCCTTAAGAATAAATGGCGTGGATCGTATTTTTATACGATATCTTCATATCGAAACGTTGTTAACTTTGAATATAAACAAATTGTAAAAGTCTTTTAATACAAAATTATGATTAATATAATTAAAAATTATTCAAGACTCAAGTCTAGATCTACTCTTAAAGAATTCCGCCTCTACTCATTTATTTTATTGCTTAAAAAGAACTTTTGGAAAACTTAACTGACAGTATTAGCTCTTTGTGTGTTAAAGAGAATTAAACAGCTTATGAACTTCAGATATTGCATTTCAAATGTAATATCGCAATATTATTATAATATTCCTGAACTATTTGTTACTTTTCCAATATGCAAATCTTCACTTTGTCGCATTTGGCTTTTCTTTCTGCTAAAAAACGAGCTTTTAAGCAGCTGTGACATAATTTCAAGCAGTTTCCCAGCTAAAATGGCCAAAGAAAAACAAAATAAAAAAAAATGAAAATAAAAGGAAAACACGTAAAAAGCTCCCACACTTAACTGTAAACAAACAACAATATGAAAATGATATGCAATGCAGTTTTTTTTTTCATTTGTTGTTGTTGTTGTTTTTTGTGTGTTTTTGTGTAATTCATTTGCAACTAATTGAGTTTGCGTGTCTGTGCCAATTGTTTTTATTGATTTCTGAAAATTTGTTTACAAAATGTAACAACAACAACAACAACTGCAACAACAACTGCAAACATAATAATAACTAATAGCTGTGCGATTTTAAGCTTGAATTGCTTTCAAATTGTTTTGAAGAATTGCTTTTGGGCCGCGTCTTTAGCCTATTTTAGCATTTGTCGAACTTTAGCTGATCGCTGTGCTACAAGTTAATGGGCAGCACACACACAAACACGCACAGCAGATCAGCAGACATATTTGCACTCAACTCTGGCCCAGAGTCCTCCTCCTCCTCATCATCATCCTCATCATCATCATCATCATCAAGAACAACATGATGATTATGAATCGCCACAGCCAGACGACAATTCTGGCCAAATGCCAAACTTGCAACTCCGCTAGCCCAACAACAAGTAGCAGACACAGCAGACATCTATGGATACATCCATCCATCCATCCATCCATCCAGCCAACCATCTATATATCTATCTATCTATAACTGTAACTATATCATATCTATATCTATATCTTAATTGGAGTTTGTCTGCCTTCTAATTGGATGCAGCACAACAAATCGAATAAAAATCTTAAGCCAGCTGCAGCTCGCAAATGTTGCAACTTGCAAGCGTTACGACCCCCACCCCCCTCCCGAACAGCCCCCACCCTCCTTGCATTATCCTCGTCCTACCCAACATTCGCAGAATGCAACAATAAAAACAAAGACGAGTACAAGAAGAAGCATCAAAAGAAATTCTTAGAAAATATCTTTGCAATTAATTTACATTGACGGCAACTAAATCCACAAATATAAAAATATAAATGTATTTTTATTTATTTGTATATATTGAATATGCAATTAGTAGATCTATCTAGTTAGCTACATACCTATTATATTCTGCCTATACATATATATGTTTATTTGTATATATATATATATATGTATATATTTATATATAAATGATATAGTATATATAGCATATAGAAGAATTTATTCCTAGATGTTTTTCTTGGTTTTGCCGTCGGAAAATTTTTTGCATGCTTGCATGAAATTCAATACAAACGAAAATATTTATGTAAATACACATGTATATGTACAATACACACACACACACACACACACACACACACACACACACACATATACATACATACATAGCTGATGTATGTGGCCAGCTACATCTGGGATTAGAGTTTTACAGATATGTTGATCTGTGGATCTGCAATTAGTGCAAAGTGCAGCCAGCAGCGAGGCAATCAATAAAACTTAAATAAGCAAAACCAATTTGCGGCCACGCCCCGTTTGCGGCATGCCACAAGCAAATATGGCCACAAAATCGAAAGGGCAAAACACAGACACATAAACTAGTATATCTATTGACTGGCAGTTACTCTCCAATTGTAATTATGTGTATTAAGGAACAAACAAGTGAGCCTAAGAAAATGATGGAGAACGAAACTCTAAGGTATTGGCAGAAAATTATTATAAAAATAAATAATACCTTAGGCTGACCTAATGCAAAGCATGTAAATAACAGCAACAAAATAAATAAAGCTTAGAAATTTCAGGTTAAATTAGTATAAAAGATTACTCAAGTTCTCAATTAAATTAATATAATGACAAGTTAGAAAGATATATATAATAAAATAAGCTTAAAAAAAAGGTTATGCGAATAATAACTTCCATTTATTGTTAAGATTTTTTAATTTGAATATTTCACCTTGAAGAAAGTTTAGAAACATTTTAAATGAGCTGCAATAAACTTAGGTAAATTATAAGAGCTCATCAGTAGAGTTTCCAATAGTCTGATGTATCTTAGAAAGTTTAGCCATATAATGAGATGTATAAACAGATATAGAAATTGATATGGAAACAAGTCTCAAAGTCGTCAACTTACAACTAAATGAAGTATAAAGAAATGCACTAAGCTAATCCAATTATTATATGATTAAAAATATTAAGTCAAAATACAAAACTAAATATAACACAAATAAAATACTTTGTAGCTGCAAAGTGCTCGAAGAGTATACAAAAGTTTCTGAAAACATTTGCGCTTTCGTTAGTTTTTCGTTTGGAGATCGATTCGCAGAATTTTGGAGCGAAGCGCGCTCTTAACGAGCATTTGATTTGTTATTAATGGGAGGCGAGTGAAAAATAAAAACTGCAAATAACAAAGCCAACTAAGTAACCTGGCAAATTGTCTGAAGCGTCTTCGTTTTGAAATAAACCAAAACAAAAAAAGAAAAACCGAAAAAATTATGATGTGTATGGCAATTAGACACAGATCGATTTCAAGTCCGATCTATAATGGTGAGTGAGTCCGAGTCCGAGTCCGTGAAGTGATCTCATCGCGTTTTCAAGAGATCCATCTTTATATAAACTGGGCTTATCGGCGATAAGTTGCCAAAAGTAGACGAAAATCTGGGCCCATAAATGCCATTGACAAGCCAAATTGTGTAATCATAAATAACGCGCTGAACGCGAGTAACCAGAGACATAATTTAAACATATTCATTTGTGAGGCCAAATATAGAAGTTCATTAAATAATTAACAGACGGCCGAAAGCAAATAAAACCAAGTTAACAGCAATAACAACAACAACAACAGCAGCAACAACAGCAGCAACAATAGCAACAACAGCATCGACAGCTGTCCAAATTGCGCTACCCCACCCTTTCTCTATGTCTCACACTGGCTCCCTCTCTCTCTCTCTCTCTCTTAACTGGTGTTGTTCTTTTCATCACAGTTTTGGCTTTCAAGTACGTGCGCCATATAAAAATTGGCACCAATTCTTAACAACAACTCTGACCGCAAATTGCCAGATTAACAGAAATTATTATACCATATACCCATATAAAATCAACCATATAGTGATATATGCATCCAAATAGAACTAGCGCAAGCTCAAGCACCAAAAATTATTTCCGTATTTTCGATTGCAAAGCAACAAAAGAAATCAAAAAAAAAAACATTTTTATATGTATATAGAGAGAAAAAACTAAACAAAAACCCGGTCGCAATGCAATCTATAAACTTGACCCATTAATTTGGTAAAAAGAAGCTGCTCTCATTTGACTAAGCAAAAACTGTTGTTGATTTTCGCTGACGGACTTGTAAAAATGCACTGGCCGCGTGTAATCGACTAACAGATACGCTGTAGGCAGCTATATATTGATAAAAGATAATACAAAGTTTATACACAGCATAACTCGGGAGTTTAGTAAACGATTCTGCTGAAATTTTGGAATAAGACCAAGGAGTTGCTAGAGTCTTTGTGTATCAAATTTGGGTTTGAAATTCACTATATTTTTTCCGTTATTTCTGGATATTGTGAATTGATACTTCGATCAAAAGAGCTATGAATATGAATAAATAAATACTTTTTCCCTCGGGTAAATGCTCCATGTGCTCGTAGATGTCTGCCAATGTCTGTTACTCACATGTACAAACCTTTTTTTGTGCACTTTAAAGTGGTTTTGGGTTTTCGATACCCCCTGACAACAAGAACATTTTAATTGCCAAAATGCATTCGAGTCAAAGATACTAGAAACGAACATTTTCGGCTCACTTTTCGTTGTTGTTTTTTTGCCTTTTTTTTTTTTTAAATTTAAGTTTTTTTTTTTTTGGTTTTTTGGGCTACTCGCGGCATTAATCAATTCGAAACCGGTTCGAGAGTTCCTGTGGCAGCCACCACCACCAGCAGCACCACCAACAACAGCAGCAGCAGCAGCAGCAGCAGCACCACCATCGGCGTTTGATAGTTTAAAAGTTTATTTCAAATA